ACCTCTGTGTAAATTCATCATATCGTGATCTTTGTTTGTAATAAAGTATGTTCTTATTGTCTTTTTTTGGACTATACATCAATAAAGTATGAAGTCTTTGGTTTGCTTTCTTTGATATGATGTTTCTGTCAATCTCTTCTTTTTTTTTTGGTATCAGACAATGTGTGTAAGCGATTATGAGGGTTTGCTAGTTTTATTTTCTGGCTTGAGTACTTTGTGGTCTCTTAGTCTCTTGTATTTTTTAATCAATAATGCGAAGAAACTAAGTTCAAGATTGCATATATGAGATATACATGCATGTATAACTGTTTCATGTAGAATGGATCACATCAAACCCTTTCTTTATCACAACATGTTGGAGATGACAAGAACAATCCCACAAATATTCTGAAAATCACCACTTTCCTTCACAACTGAGGGATCAGCTTTGACTTTCGCCACCCATCTTGACACGTGGTAGATCCTTCCATAGCTGCTGAAAGCTTGATGTTCAGACCTGAACCATCTCCTGACGCTAAGCTCATCGAGACTGCTGATTGTATTCTTGTACTGCTCCACGCACGAGGTGTATCCTTTCTTTAAGCGGGGTTAGTTTCTTTCGTGGCTAGAGATTGAATCTTCGTGAAAGCTCCTGCTGCACTTGTTTGCGCCGAGCCGAATGAACTGTTGCAAGCGTTTTGCTATCAACACCTGAAGTCTTTGGGTTTGATTTCATCATGTAGTTGTACAGAAGGATGGGTTGATTTTTCCGACAATAAATGCCCAACATACCGTAATAGATGGCTAGAAGAGTTCATTTACGAGTCCCACCAAAAAAATTAAAGTGAGTGAGCTCAAGTTCAAATTTTAATATTTGGGAGAAGACTAGATATACTTGCGTTGATTCTTGACTCGAATATAGCCTTTACCAAAATGAAAAAGACAAATAGGATTAAACACAATTATCCATTTTCAGAGTTTTATTCTTTTCACAAGTTAAACAACGAAGTCACCCCTCAAACCGAATTTGAGTCTTTTAATTCACAAACACTTCATAGGAACACTCCAAGTCGTATTCTTAGGCTGTTCAGATAAAGACAAATACTTTCTCCAGTCATCAAGAACGAGGTTAAGATCATGAAGCTTCTTCTCTAGACCAATACAACAATTAGCATGCATCGTACACACCAAGTTTATGTCTCTGCTCGTCTGACAAAACCCACCAAAGTAAACCGTGTCAAAGAACCTCATCTGGATCCCAATCTCTGACACTAAAGCCTCATGTTTGATCTTGTTAAACACATCTTGGTCATGTAAGTCTGGATAACTCAGACGAGATTTGTACCAAAACTTGTAGAACTCGATGCTTCTATGGTTTGATTTCACATATGTGAAGCCTCCGTTTACCCAATTGTCTGAGTCATATGGATCACCAAAGAATCGATCACATGCCATTTGAAAGTCTCCATCGGGATATAGCCGAGGAAATGGATCTCTAAGCCACATTATATCTGCATCCTAAATACATCCAGGGAAATTTTCAAAATAACAAAAAATAAAAAAAAATTCAAAATAACATCGTTTTGTATTAATTGAATTTCTTATATCAAATGTAGCATTTATTGGTTGTATTTTATTTTTCTAAAATTCACACACTCGGAGTTGGTAGCATTAGTTAGGTAGATGTAATTAATTGTGATTTATTTTTGGTAACTGCGTAGGGCCCTGTTCAGTGTAATGTATTAAATTCAGACTAAATACTATGTGTAAATAATTTTATTAAAACCTTGGAATTGAAAATATAGACAAGTTATGTTAACTTTCAAATGGGTCCTATCACCTATCCTAATGCAAATGTAAAGCACATCTTGTAAGACGACAGTAAGTTATATACACATAGATTTTCTTGATCATATATTGATCCAAAAGATTTGTAAAGAACAAAGATTTGACATGGGTGATGAAGATGAGTACCGTGAAGATGAAGTTAAATCCCATTTCAAGCACTTGTGTGAGGAGCTCGATTCTCCTCCACATCATTTTGAGGTAATCAGGAGTAGCAAACCGTTTCTCACCGGAGAAATCAGTTCCTGATGTTTCTAAATAGTAGCAATTCGGGTGAAGTTGTGAGCACCGATCAAATGCCTTGGGGTCCAAGCAAACAACAACCACATGTCGAAGTAGCTTTTGTGTTCCTTGTCCTATACGAAAACTTTCAAGAAACAAATCGAACAGAGAGTTTGGCTCTGCCCATGCTTGATTCAACGTAGTTATGATAACAGTTCGATTCTCTGTTGATGCGTTCTCCAGAACTTCTCTAAAACTGATTGATTTTGATCTCTGAAAGAAACAAGAAACACGTTTCTTAAAAAAAAAAAAAATGAAACACGTTACTGATTAAAGATTCAAAAAAAAAAAAAGATCAAACCCATTTTAGCCAAAGCACAGATTGAGACATATGTAAGAGTATTAATAGCTCACTGTTTGTGGAGAAGACGAAGAGGCGTGATCGAGCAAAGGACGAGAGGAAGTGAGATTGTTGACATGGAGCTCTTGACGAAGAGGATAAGCGGTTTTGTAAAGAAGTAGACATGAAGCAGCTAAAACGAGAAACAAGACCAAGATTTTCTTCACTTCTTTTGGTCCGATTGCAGATCCCAGAAACTTTGAAGGGGAACCAGGGAAGGAGGAAGAAGAAGCTGAAGAGTTCATGTGTTCTTGAAAGGTTTTAAGCGTTTCTCACTTTTTTCTCTGTTTATTTTGTCGGTTCTTATAAAGGGCGTTGTTTTATTTATTTTATTACTACAAATTAATTTATTTATGTCTGAGTCTTTTTATGAATTTTAATTGAGAAAATAACTAAAATAACACTAAAAAAGTTTTTGCCACAAATATAGCATTTAAGAATAAAAATGACTAAAATAACACTTAATGTTTTATCAAAAAAAATATACACTTATATCTCAATGATAAATTAATTTAAACATTAGAGTTTATGGTTAAAGGGTGGGATTTATGGTTTATGGTTTATGGTTTAGAGTTTAGGGTTTAGATTTTAGGTTTAGAGTTGGGGAATGGAGTTTTGGGGATAAAATTTTAATTTTTGAAAAATAAAAAAAATTTAAAATTTTCAAAAGATAAAAGATAAAATGCTATTTTATTCATTTTAGTTTCTGAGGGTTATTTTTGTGGCATAAACTTAGAAAAGTGTTATTTTAAAGATTTGTCCATTTTAATTTGTGAAATTTTGCTATTATACTAATCAGAAGATGGGACAAAGTGTAGATGCATGAATAATCCCGAGAGAGGAATGATTTGGTGGATGAGAAACGGGCACTGGAATATCTTTGTGTATATATCAAAGTTACGAAAAAAAACCAATATTTCAAACTTTTTTTGTTTGCAACTATATTATCAAACTTGAACAACCTCTATTTCATCAAGAGAGACTTTTCTAAATAAGATCACAACATCTAACCGATCAAAAATATCTTCCTTTTATTCTCTTACTTCAAACTGTCCATTCAATTAGTCCTTCTCCTTTGTTTGTGAGTCTTAAACATTATTATATGAGAAAATAATGCTTTTGTTATTATATCTAGTGCGAATTAATGAATCAGACAAATACAATAAAGCGGAGTACACATTAAGGGGTTGACAACAACGAAAAACAAGCATCAGGGGTTGTTTTTTGTGTGTGCAAAATGTTCTTTATTGGTCATCAAATTGGTTTTATTTTATTTGTTGAAATTGATGCACATTAAATACTGGACCGTTTCTCCATTATTTTCTCTACACGTGTCTTTTAATATTTGTCTTGGTCACGTTCTTTTCGATTAGTCGTGGATGACGTCATGTATATAGTATTCCGTTTAGGGCTTTTTTGCTCAATAACCAAAAAAAAAAATTTATTTAGTTTTTTAGAGAGAGGGGAAGAGAGAGATAGGAAGGGGCATGAAGAGAGAGGTGGTATTTTTAGTTAGATAATAAATTTTGGTTTTTTTTGGTTATTTCACCCAATTTCCCTTCCGTTTATTATCTCATTAAGTTCACGAGTCAATAATTCATAAAACGAACAATGCTTTGACCAGGGACTGAAGTTGATAGTTTACTGGCTTTTTTTTTTTCCTTTTGTCAACATAGCCTACTGGCTAATAATACAATATTTGGCTTAGACCACAAAACATTTTTTTATCTATGATACAACCAAACTAATGATAAACATCTCTTTTGGATTCTAATACTTGTCAAGAATTGTAATTCTAGGATCAAATTTGTTTTGCTTAATCAATGGAGAGTGGTAAGTAAGAGGACTCCGTGAGTCTATCGTCAGTCTAGGATGGACGTATATGTTGTGATTATCCATTACAATCAGGACAAAAAATTTTGTAAGTCGTTCGAATATCGCCATCAAGAAATCCCCAAAAAGCAAAAGTATATGCGAAGAGAAAAACCTTATTGAAGTATTTAGTAAAACAGTAATCACGTGTAAGCTTTGAATGTCAGGTAAATAATTTGCTACGGCGTGTAGTGAAAAATCCTCGAATTAAATGACATTTTGTAGTATAACCAACCGTTTCTATTGTTCCACTAGTCAATGTCAAATGCAGTACTTCTAAATTGTTTTATTGAGTTCCAAGCTTTAGTAGGTCAGGGAGAAAAAACTCAGGAATTAGCCCAAAATTGGCCAATAAAAATGATAAAAATTAAATTATTGTGTCCTTGAAGGGCTCCGCTCTTGATTCGAAGTGATTGGATCATGATGATGGCCTTATTTGTAAAATACCATACCAAGTATATTATTAGATTTTCATAGTAAGTCCACAATGCTAATCTAGCCATCTATTGATCTTGGTTCTTGGGATTGCGGCAGGACTTCTAATACACGCAAATATTCATCTCGATAAAGAACTTCAACGTGACCAAGGCCATAACAGTTTCTATGATCTAGTCTTGTGATTGGTCTCCTTTATTACCCTTCAATCCTTTATTATCAGTAGTTGTTTACATAAAAAAAGAAGCTAAACATAATAGACTTGTCCAACGTTTAAAAGGGTTTCATGAGGAACATGTAAGATAGCACTATTCGCCCTACACATCTTAGCAAGAAACCGATAAACATAATTAATGGCTATCTTCTTTGGAAGCAATGATCCTTTTCTTGCCTTCACCACGGTGTTTCCCATGATATGGACAACCCCTGACTCTTTACAAGTCTTTAAAAACTCCAACTCATCCTCCCCCTCCTCCTCTTCCTCCACTATGTAGTTCTGACTGAAACTCATTGAACTAGGCGGTGAATCAGCTGAAACTAACGTGTCTAGAGTTGATACCGGGTAGTCGAACATCGATGAGAACACAACCTTGTTGTTATTGTTGTTGTTACAGATCAATTCCTCTCTGGACACTTGTGTATGGTTGAGGGAATACGCGCTGTTGCTATAGTTTGAATATGACTCCATCATTTTTTCCGTTTGGATGAAAGAGAATAGGCTATCCAACAGTTTGTTTTCGAAATTGTCGTCTTTCCGGTGTAGATCTTTGTAACCATACCTATAATAATTTTATTAGTTATTTCAACGGTCTGAAAACTCTTGGCGTAAAGAACAGAGAAGAAGAAAGGACAGTACCTGGCTACACAGCGGAACATTCGGAATGTCTTTGGTCCGATTCTTTTGACAAGAAACCTCTCTTCTTCAGGGACGGTGTAGACCGGAAGGTTCTTGACGCAGACAAAGACTACGATAGAGTTAATCGCGGGGAGGTTAGTGATGAAATGAGAGAAGATGCGAGGGACACCACTCGCTAGTTCTGTGTGAACTAACCCGATCCCGGGGACACGTACAAGCCCAAGACTGGGGCCAAGACCGAGGATCCAACTCATGGAAACTTTGCTATACACTTCAAACTCATATTTCTTGACTGTTACGTAGTTCCAAACAAACATTACCAGAAGAGACAACGCTGCTATGATGAGCGGAACCCATCCTCCTTCATTAATCTTTAAGAGCACAGCCGAGAAATACGACAGTTCCACCACGAGCGAGAGAACAGTGAATATAAGGACAAGGATCCAGTGGCACCGCCACACCAGAAGCATAGTCAGCACCATCAGCAATGTGGTCACAAGCATCACGACCATAACCGCAGTTCCTAATATTCACCAAGATACCAAAAGAGTCACACAACTGCTCAGTATCTAACCAGAATGCCGACCTCTTGTACATCTTACTATTAAGTTAGGGACAAAGTCCTACATCTGAATTAGAAATGATTTAAGTACCATGTAAAAGATATGGACCAATCCATTTATACCGGTTGGTTTTCGGTTGTAAACTAATCTAATTTAATATGCTACTAGAGCTAGTTTCACGCAGTCTAATCCAACTATAATAGATCATGTCAAAGTACACTTATTGGTTTTTGCCCAAACATTTCAAAGATTAATGATTAACGAGCCATCATTTCCAGAATGCATGTGAGAGACAAAAGTCCAAAATCTCAGAAGTTGAAAAAGATTCTAAATAATATATAAAAGAAATGAAACAATTCACTTATCACCGATTATTTTAGATTGGAACTCATATAATTTAACAAGAGTATCAGAGCTCAAACCATACTTTCCAACCCTATCCATAATTCATCATGCCCAAAGTTAGTTCATTGATTGCGCAAATATTTGTGAGATTAATGATCAACGAGCTATAATATCGAATGGGCATATTAGGGACACAACCCCACATCGAAAGTTGCAAAAAAGTAATATATAAGAGATATGAGCCAGTTAATTAATTTACTTGCAATTAGTTTTATCATTTAACTTAATACTTACCATAGGCATTTCCGATATCGATCTGGTTCTTGAAACTAGCAGTGACGGCGATGCAACCAATCATGAGTATCCAGTTAATATCAGGGCAATATATCTGAGTAAGGAACTTCTTAGAAGTGTGAACAATTTTAACTCGAGGGAAACACCCATGAGACACGGCCTGTTTGATTAATGAATAAGTCCCTGATATGGTAGCTTGGCTCCCAACGACTGCAGCTCCAGTCGCGACTATAAACATTGGCCAGTATACACTTTCTGTGGAGTCAAAGCAAAAGAGAGTTCAGTGTTCTGTAAGAGCACACTGTGTCACTATGTATGACTTCAAGACTAGTAAAGCTTTTGAAAAAGGTTTAGGACAAACCAGGGATAGATGCATAGAAGGCGTCTTTGTAATGTTCCTTGTGGTTCACAAGATACGCAGCTTGTCCGCAGTATGCTAGAAGAAGACAAGGGAATACAAAAAGTGTAAAAGCTAGCTGTATCGCTTGTAAAGGGAAATAAGAAATGTCTGCGTATAGCGCCTCTGTGCCTACAATTTTTGAAGAGGAAACATTTTAAGATAGTTTCCGACTTCCATTATGAGACGTTGTCCCTAATAGAAACATTTTAGAGATAGCTCTAAAAAGAATTTCTTTGAGGCTAGTTTACCTGTTATGCTGAGAAGAATGCCACCGAGCGAAATCCAACCATCTTTTCCTCGTCTTCTGAAGTAAACATATATATATGTTGGTGAAAACGCTTTTAAAACGCGTGTTTCGTGTTTGCATATGTTGTATATACCAGTGGCTCCAATGAAGAGAAACCAAATAAGGACAATAGGCGCAAAGAGCCATCCAACCTTGTCTGTACCATAGTGTTGCATACTGAACAATCCAATTAAAATAACGACAGACACAAACACAACGATGTCTGCAAAATAAAAGGATCATAACAAGTGAGCAAAAGCTATACCGAATGGAAACATGAATTTGACATGTTACCCGTGCTCATATTTGGATTGTTGACTTTGATCCCACCAGTAGCTGAAAGAACTGTAAAAGAAGGTTTTGTAAGATGAAAACATTTTTCTAAAGTAAACATTTTTATTAAGTAAACATTTTAGACGTCTATGGAAAATCGTTCATAAGCGAAACGATTTTTTAATGATTTTCTTTTTTTTTAAATTGTACTTAGCGCCTAGACGTCCGCCTATGCACTAGTTCGTATAAAATGTTTAACTACCGCCTAGTAATTTCTTGAACATTGGCTGAAAGCCTGAGTAAATATACCAAGTTAAAGAAGTAGAAAGGAGGAGAAGCTTAGTTACCGGAGATGGCTGGGGTTAAGATACCATCACCTATCATCATACACGTCCCTAGAAGAACAATGACCAGAAGGGCTCGTTTCTTTGAATGTCTACTCTCCAACCATTCCTTTGTTTTAGAAGCAAAAGATCCTTCAGCGACTAACGTTCGACTATAAGTCGTGAGATTTTCATCGCTGCGTTGCTGATTCGGGATGAGATTCACGTTAGCATGTCTACAAAGCAATGAGTATATAGCTAAAGTCCCACCTGCACATAAACATTCATTAGAATAAACTAGACCGATTTGGTAAAACAACGATCAATCTTTTTAAAAACTTACCTTGACCATTATCATTAGCTTTGCAGACAATGAAGACATACTTGATGAGAGGTATAAGCAGAAGAGAGTAAATGATCAAAGAAAGAGCTCCGATCACATCTTCACTATCATTAATTCCATCAGGAAATGTATTGTAGAACACATACAATGGAGAAGTCCCTAGATCTCCGTAAACTATCCCTAGACTTTGGAATGATAGTCTTAGTAGCATCAACATCGATAAGCCCTGACGAAACACACAAAATTAAAAACCTAAATTCTCTAATATGAAACTGAAACAGAGTAAGGAGTTACCTTTTCTTTGTTCATGTTCTTGAGCATATTAGCTTCTTGATCCATGGGTTGATCGAGTGCCTCCTCAAATTCCCTCATTGCTTCTCTGTCTCTTTTTTCAATTGTGATTTCTCCTTCTGTAACAGATGCTTCTACCCTTTCCTCCATTTTTTTTTTGTAATCTTGATATCAGACCAAAGTTGAAACTTTTCTTTGTTTGGACATGAATATAAGAAGCGACTCGAGTTATTAGGAGCAACTAATGTCTGGTCAACTCAGGTTCTGTCATGGAATTGGACACAGGCTACTAGGCTACAACTGAAACAATCCTCAAAATTGTAAGAAAAGCGACATCCCCTTTTTATAACATTTTTGTGTGTTTGTTTAATTCGGTATATACTTTTTTCTTTTTCTAATATTGGCATATACTTTGATTTGTGATTGTGGCATACGATGAAGAGACTATAGAGCAGAATTAAAATTAAATTATGTTGCCAGAGAAATCATAACTTATTGACACCGTGTGAAAATGGTTTGTCTTGCTTTCACTAACGTGACACACGCCGCACATGAAATATTTTCTTTTGTCAAATATTTTTAATTATATGATATGTAAGAATACATGCAAGATACATGGAATAGTAAAACAACAAGCAACATAATTAATATTATACAAAGAATACACTATAAGAAAACATGCTTTTAACAAGAAAGAATTATGAGAAAAATATTTCCTTGTAACTTTACGAGTACTTAATCACTAGGTTACGAGGAAACTTAAATTCGTCATAAAGAACTAGTAACATTACAATGAAAACCATTCGTCGTAACTGACATATTATTTTACGACGAGTGTACTAGGAAAAGGAAAATTCGTCATAAAATTACAACCGCATTACGAGGAAAGTTTAACCGTTTATAGTAAACAAAAACTTGTTCTTAAGTTATTACTTTCGTTGTAATATGGGTGTAAAGCATGTACAAAAGACTTGTAAAATCCTAGTAAATTGTTTCCTTGTAAATTCGTCGTTAAATCTTTACCAACCAAGCTAAAAAATTCCTATATATATGTCATTCCTAATCAATCCTAACAACACCACAGACAAAAACAAACAAAATTGAAAGAAAAAGAATTCGATGACATATGTATCGATTTTCCATGAAATTAAAAGGCGTGGACAGTTAGCAGAACAAATCTAATCAACTCCTCATAGCTTTTCCTCGAGAAGTCGATGAATAGATATGAGGAGTTGATAAGAACATTCCGATGACCGTGAACTCCCTTTAGTTTTGTGGAAGTAATCAAGAAAAAAAGTTTATCCAATTTTTTTTTTCATTTTCGTTGTAAAGTCGTCGTAAAATTACAAGTGCTTTATGACGAAAATTTGTAGGTAAACACGACTTTAATATGTAACTTAAATCGTTGTAAATACGTTGTAACCTATATGTTAGAAACATGTAATATCATAGTAAATATATTCCTTGTAAATACGTTGTAAACTTTTACCTACCAATATTCGTGGGTTTCCTATATATATGAGCATTTCTCATTTCATACCACCACACAAAAAAACAAAAACAACTTAAAAAACAAAAACCACAGAGTTGTTGGTTTGATTGTCATTGTAGATTTCTTCTCCTTACCCATCCATACCGAAGAAATAAAACATTGTTTAGGTACAAAAAAAGTTGTAAGGGATAGTCCTCCATATCTCACTGGAGAACATATCCTAGCGCAAATTGATTACTACGGAGCTCAGGAAACTGTTCCACGTGGAGGAAACTGGCATGTTCCTGGAAATAAGCCTGATGGATATGGGGTC